GGAGTCGGGGCAGGGGGGGGGGGCGCGAGCACTTCCGGGCTCGAGGCTCGGGGCATTTCCTTGTTTGTCCGGTTGTCCCGACCGCATGTCGGTCGGGACGCGGGACAAACAAGGAAATATCGGGACGGTCCCGATAAAATCGGGACGTCTGGTCACCCTACCCCCTAACAGTAACCTTGCAACCCCCTCACAGCCCCCTTTTGGGTCAGGACCCCTACAGTTACAGCACTGTGAAATTTCAGATTTAAATATCTGAAATCGTGACATTTACAATTTTTAAAATCCTATGACTGTGAAATTGACCAAAATGGACCATGAATTTGGTAGGCCCCTAACTATTGGCGGCCTTTATGAATACTGAAGGGCACATTCGTTATAAGCAGCTGGATCTAGGACAAAGCGTAATTTCCTGTGTTCATAAATCCTTTGTAGGACAAACGCCATTGTCAACATTTCTGTAACTTCCTTTTCTTATTGATAGCCCCAGTTTTTGGGCTCGGTTGTTGATACAAAGTGGCCTCCATTAAAAGACAGGAGGTTCAACTTATTCCTCTTGTAGCAACTCTGAAGCAAAGCAGAAAAGGGCTGTTTTCCTTAAGCTTCCATCATCAACAAGCAAACAATTTTCTGCTTGATCGAGTCAAACAGAATAATATGCTAGTGCTGGGCTCCTGTTAGTAACTGGAGTACTGACTAAAATCACAAGCAAAAATGAAACTGGCTGGGTGAGCTGTTCTGGATAATCAGGAGACTTTCTGCTGTGTAGACTGAGCTTCAGTTACAAGTTGAATTGTGGCTCCATGGCCCATGGTCAGCTATATTAAGATTGTACCAAACTGGCCATTTCAGTCTTGCAGAGAGATTCTTATAGTGATGTAAGGTGCTGGTGGTGGTAATTTGCACTTCTATATGGCCTTCCATGCCAAGGATTTCAGAATAACTTTGTGCATGCTAATTAATCTTCAGCAATTCCTGTGAGCTGGGTATCATCCCTATTTTACAGATGGAGAAACTAACACACACAGAGGGTTAGTGACTTGCTCAAGTTCACACAGCAAGTCAGTAGGGTGACCAGACAGCAGATGTGAAAAATCAGGATAGGGGGTGGGGGGTAATAGGAGCCTATTTAAGAAAAAGACCCCAAAATGGGGACTGTCCCTATAAAATCGGGACATCTGGTCACCCTACAAGTCAGTGCCAGGGCAGTTACTTTAAAAATCACAATACCACGAGGAATTTCTGCTTCTTCTGACTGTTATTTTTTTTAAATTTACTATCTTGAGGGACATGCACAAAACATTCTGCTTCCCTGCAGCACCAATTCAGCAACACGTACCAGTCTCAGAGTTGCACCGATGCCAGGGTAGGCCCTGTTTTTAAATAAGGAAGGTGCTACAACACATTGTTTTCAGTTGTAGTGATCTCAATACAATTTGAAATATGTTATTTATGTTACTGCCATAGTATTTGCCAAAAGGACAAAATTAACAGGAAAGTATTGTTGCTTGCTTTGTGAACACAAAGAAAAATCCTAGAGGAAGAACATCCAAGCTTCCTAAAATAACACAACTGAATCTAAATGTTAGGTGTGTATTGGGAGGAAATATTCCTGGTTTGTCTTGTCCTGTGAGAGGAATAGAGTAGTTAAAATTAATCCTGTGACCTGACTTTGATTCTTTTGTTTTTTGTGTTGCAATCTGAACAGATCAGACTCCGACTCCAACCCGTTTTTTGAAGAACTGTGAGGAGGTGGGGCTCTTCAATGAATTGGCCAGTTCCTTTGAGCACGAGTTTAAGAAAGCCACAGAGGATGATGAGAAAAAGGCAAGAGGCAGAAACTACCATTCCAATAAAACTGAAACATTCACAGATTGTAGGGGCTGAAGGGGGAATTATGCTGTTCTGATGAAAGGCATATGTTGTAGGATAACTAAGTGTTGTTGTCTCATAGATTTAAAATGCTCAATCACATACTTTATTTAGTAACTTGTGTGACTTTGGCTGTGCTACAGTCTGAGTCCCAGTTAGGTCTGATTTTAATAACCTTTTGTTACTACAGCTTTTTGTCATCGTCGTCCCTGCCCCTCCCCCCCCTTTTTTTAAGTCACTACCCACAATATCTGATCTCGCATGTCCTGGCAAAAGAATGCCTGAGAAGTACCAATACCCTGTTAACCATGTAGGCTCTGATCCAAAGCCCACTGGGCATCTCTTCATTGATTTCAAGATCATTAAAGAGCAATTCCCAGAGCCATGTCGTAAAGGCATGGTTGTGGAAATATCCTTTTTGACCATGTTCTGCCTTTCCTGTCTCCAAAGGATAGGAAAGAAGCCAAGCTTTTGTTGTGTACTTCTTGAGTTGTGTGCGTGCTGCATACAAATAGAGAGGAGGTTCCATGACAGAGTAAGCGTTTATAGGTCTAGAAGACAGCAAGATGTCAAGCAACTTAAGCGATTCTTTCCAACCCTTCCACCACTGAATAGCAGCAGATGCATATTGTACAACTGCATTGGTATTTTTTAGACTGGCTTTAACATTTATGAAATTGGTATTTGTACATACATGTGCAATTGGCAGCTCTGTTCAGAAACACGGCTGCATAAATCTGTTCAACTATAACAAATTCAGAGTTAAAGTGGAAAATTTTGTCATTCACTCGCTCATTGAGTACCAGGTGTCTTTCAAACATTTGTTGATCTTACATCCTGCATGTGCTGCAGGCCTAGGCACAGTGAGGTGGCATGGTCGTGCTTAACTCTGAATTCCCTGCCTTTCATTAGCTACAGCCCAGAACTTTAATATTCTTTGAGGGTAGCTAGATTTTGTGGTTTTGTGTATAAATGGGTGAGCAACCCACAGTCTAGCCAGTCGTTTTATATGTACGACCACCCATATCCTGTGCTGCCTAATAGCTATAGTTAGGATTCTTAGACTTATGAGTGTTTTGCCTTTTTTTTTTTTAATACGACTGCAGTCAAGATATTTCCAGCATTATCCAGCATCAAAGCATGGGCTGGCTTCAGGCGTAGGAAAAGAATGATCCCTCCTAGAAGGGCCCTGTGCACACTAGAGCTCAGACCCAGATGGTTTGTCACTCAGTGAGCCTGGCTAGAGATGCATTTGTGAGATGCTTTGAACACTTGACTAAGTTGAGCCCAGTTACCGCTGTTTTGTTTTGTCCTGCTGTTCCAAGGGTGGCTTGGACACCAGCATGTGCGTGATAATTAAAAACATTGGCATGGGGGGGCTCCCCCGGAGGTGTTTTAAGTGGTTTGAAACTTTCCTGAATTTTAATCCCGTCTCTTCTGTGATTTAACAGTGAAACGTCCCTGCTTAAGAGGGCAAGTAAATGGTTACTTCATGGACTGAAGGCAAGGCTGCTGCATAACTCGGCTATAACAGGGGCACTCTAGGGCAATGCCATTCAACTAGAGAGATGGCTCATCAGGGAGAAGAGCCACAGATGCCTATTTTGACTCTCAAAAAGAAGAACAGGAGGACTTGTGGCACCTTAGAGACTAACAAATTTATTAGAGCATAAGCTTTCGTGGACTACAGCCCACTTCTTCGGATGCATATGATACAGTGTCCCACAGTGTTAGTGTCCCCCCGGTGACGTGGCTTTTTGCCCCTCAGACACATCTTCTCTCTCTTTTCCTCTTCCTTGGTGCCTGCTGCAGAGGCTTGGCTGCTCAGCTCTCCCCTGCAGCCTCACATAAGAACTCCTGATGTCCCTGGCCTTTATGGGATCCATGAACGCCTTAAGAGCTGGGGTACTGACGGAGCCACATCCAACTCTGGAGCCACAGGCTGAGTGTCTCTTGCCATTAGAACAGGGGTGGGCAAACTTTTTGGCCCAAGGGCCACATCTGGGTATGGAAATCGTATGGCGGGCCATGAATGCTCATGAAATTGGGGGTTGGTGTGTGAGGGGGTGAGAGCTCTGGCTGGGGGTTGGGTTGGGGATGAGGGGCTTGGGGTGCAGGAGGGTGCTCTGGGGTGGGACCAAGGGGTTCGGAGGGCGGAAGAGGGATCAGGGCTGGGGCAGGGGGTTGGGGCATGGAAGGGGGTCAGGGGTGCAGGCTCCAGCCAGCGCTTACCTCAAGCAGCTCCTGGAAGCCAGTGGCATGTTCCCCCTCCGGCTCCTACGCGGAGGTGCGGCCAGGTGGCTCTGCGTGCTGCCCCATCCACCGGTGCTGCCCCTGCAGCTCCTGTTGGCCGTGGCTTCCCCTTTGCATAGGAGCTGGAGCAGGGACATGCCACTGCTTCCGGGAGCCACGCAGAGCTACAGCACACGTGGAGCGGGGCAAGCCCCAGACTCTGCTCCCCAGCGGGAGCTCGAGGGCCAGATTAAAACGTCTGAAGGGCTGGATGCGGCCCCCGGGTTGTAGTTTGCCTACTCTTGCTTTAGAAATCTGCACTGTACACAAAAACGCCCCTGTCCCTTGACAGGTCTGTTTCTGTTGTTTGCCTGTATGTGCCACCAACCAGGCAGTTCCTTCATGCTGTCATGAGTGCATTTGCCTCACCCTTCTTCTGGGCAGAGTCTGGGGGAGCTAAGAAATCATTGCTAACTTGTTAAAATGGGGCATGTAGTGCCCTTGAAAACTCTGGTGGCGAGTTGCCAGGTTCAGGCATATGGTTAGGTTTTATTTTAATGGGGTGCTCATAGGTATTTAATAACTTGCATGACTCTTTGTTTGCTTTTGATGATTGGGTAATAAAATAATTGAGGCTGATTTATACAATGCTTTACAGCTCTTCTGTGAATGAAAGTGCCTTCTGTAACTTGCAGGCATTTGCTTTGTTACCTGTTCTGCTTAGCGGAGCCTTTTTACCAATAGAAAGAATTCCATGTGTATGTGTTACTGAGGAACCACAAAGCACTGGCCTTCTGGCCCAGGGAATGTCTGGGTTTTGTTTTTTGTTTGTACAGCACCTACCACCATGGGGCCCTGGTCCAGGGCTATGGTTTCGACGTGCCACTGTAATGCAAATAATAAAAAAAGCCTTTGGTAAATGCTCCTAGGTGCAGTGGCCCTGGAAACTAGTTGTGTGTTTCATTAGTGGTATGAAATAACTTTCATTTTAATGTATTAATATTTTCCCATTAGAATGCTGGACCTCTGGACATGTCTCTGCCCTCAACCCCAGACGTCAAAATAAAAGAGGAGGAGCCAGTTGAGGTGGATTCTTCTCCTCCAGACAGTCCTGTATCCAGCCCGCAATCCCCACAGATCAAAGAGAAGGTAGGTTTCCTGGGCCATTCCCACTTGCTGTAATTTACCTCTTTCACCAGGAGAACTGATTCTAACTACAATAGAATAAGTTCTTTCTTCACTTAACTGCCAAGGCTTGAGCTGAAGGTTCTGTTCCCCTCCTTAAGCAGGAAAGCGAAGAACTGATTTTACATTAAAATGGATTGTCATTCTTAAGTTTCCACACAGATTCCAATAATGAACTGCTACCTTTTTTTTTTTAAAAAAAGAGGGAAGTCACATTCATGGGGAGGCTGGCATCATACTGACCGGGGTAAATCTGAGGAGTTTTTGCAGTCACTGGGGTGTGGGCGATCAAGCCTTGTGGTCAGAGCAGGAGCTATGCCTAATGGTCGGAGCTGAGGGTCAAAACCAAAGACAGATTCCGCTACTAAGCCGAAGGTCAGAGCTGGAAATGGAGTCAGCTACCAAGCCGAAGGTCAGAATTGGAGACAGTCAAGTGCCAGGCCAGGGGTCTGAGCCAGAGACAGCGTTGGACATAAGGCAGAGGAGCAGGGGCCTGGAATAGGACAGGACTGCAGGAACTGGGAGCAGACAGGAGTCTGGGATGGGAAGACAGGAACCAGGAGCAAGCAGGGAACGGGAACTGGGAGCAGACAGAAATGCAGGGCTCATGAGTCAGGTAAGCTGGAGGGGTCCGCAGTGGCACCAGCCAAGGATTCCTCTAGTTGCTCGGACAACTTCCTGGTTCATATAGTACTCCTTAGCCAATAGGGGAGCTTTGGGGGCGGGCTAGCCCTTCTCAGGATCCTTCACTAGTTACTCAGGTGAGCTGGTGGGTGGCAGTTGTGGTCTGAATTCTGTCTGGGGACCTGTGGGCCCAGGTTCGAGGACTGGGATCCCTCACAGGTTTCTTTGGATGAGAAAAATCTCTGAATAAATAAAGCAGTTTTTATAGGGACGGGGCCACTGTGCTCTGAGGATTGTTGTAGTGGCCCAGAACATGCACCTATAGAATAATATAGGTGGCAAAACTGCTGGTTGCATAATTACGCTTTGTACCTATTCCAACTTGGGCTGGAGCCACTAGTTTTTAGAGGAGGTGGAGTGTCTAACAATTTCTGCAGGACTCTGGGGGTTGGGACTTTGGGGTTCTATTCCCGGCTCTGTCACTGAATCTCTGTAACCTTGGCTAAGTCCCTTCCCCACTCTGTGTCCATTTCCCTATTGGGGTGTTGTGAAAGTTGGTTTAATGTTTCTAAATCACTCAGGTTCTCAGAAGAAAGATGTGAGAGAAGGGTATATTATTACGATGAGGCTGATAAAGTATCTGTCCTTATTTTTGTTTGTTGATTCTCTTTAGGAGATCACTTCAAAGCCTGTTATAATTTCTACTCCTACTCCCACCATCATGCGTCCAGGGTCACTGCCACTACATTTGGGATATGACCCGCTACATCCCACTCTCCCCTCCCCGACCTCTGTCATCACCCAGGCTCCACCTTCCAACAGACAGCTTGGGTAAGAAAGATGCTAAGACTTGGACCGAGATTTTAAAAATGTGGTGTATAAAGTCAGGCTTTTTAAGTCTGTATTTAAGCGCATAAATGTTACCTGATTGTCAAAAGCACTGAGCTATGTGCAACTTCCACTGTAGTTCCATGTGTTTCAGGGCCTAACTGTAAATGCTGTCATGAGAACTAGTTATAACATAAATTAAACTAGGGCAACCCCAGGGAAAGAAAACAGTCCAATCCCGATATCCTTCCACTGGCAATGCCTTCACTGCATGTAATATAGGAGGCTTGCCCAGCTAAGGCCTTCAGAACTGTACTTTCACAGATTCATTTTGCCAGAGGAGCGTGAGTTGCCTTTGCTACCCGATTAAAAGGATAAGACTTTGATAAAACTGCAAAGTGGTTGAATCTTTAATGTTTTGGGGATTTTCCAAGACAGCTGTTGCTTCTGAAGTGAAACCTCTACAACCTGTTGGCCTCCTTCAAAGTCAGGTTTTGCTTCTGTAGCTATTTGTTTTCAGATAACCTAATGACCTGCTCTTCTTGCCCCTGGAGTAATCTAGGCTCAAGAGCATTCAGTGAAGTGGTTATGAGCACATTGCATTGTGGGATAGTTTCAACCCTATATATAAAAGGAAGGCGCCTAAATGATCCAGGAAATACATTACAATGGGCCTTCAGGAGAGGTATATTTAGCCCTCTCGCTGTTCTTTGGTGTCAGGATGCTTCTGTTGTGCCATGGTTGTTACTTCTTTCTAATTACCCTCTTTGGATCTGGGTCTTTGCATTAACAAGGCCATTTTTTTGGCTGCCAATTCATATTTGTGTGTGTGTTTGTTTTGACCCCATGGCACCATCAGTCCAGACTTCCTGACGGAAAGGTCTAAATCCTGTCTCCAGGCACCTTAAGGGTTAAGTGATTGTCTTTGTGTTTTGAGAGTGTATTGTGTTTGTTTTCCATAAACTAGACTCAAGCTCAGGTGTAATGCTGTCTTCTGGAGTTGAGGCACCAGAGCATTGCCCTGCTTGGAGAAACAGAGAAACAAAATCAGGACAGTCCATGTATTGAAGCTACAAAGTTAGGCCTGTAGTGGAACTTGTAGGGATGTCAATGGGACTGGGAATGAGGGCAGGGTATGAACTTTCTGTAGCTAAACTTTTGGACTGGGATTTTCAAAGTAACCTGAAGGATCTGGATACCCAGTTTCTATGAGAATTGAATATCCAGATTCCCTACGTGGCTTTGAAAGTCCCACCCCTAGTCGGTAAAGGTATGAACTTCAATCTGGCCCAGTTTACCCCCTCTGACTTTCACTCCCACCCCATCTCGCCATTACCTCAGCACGGACCCCACAGTATAATGTTCTTAGCTTAGCCAGCAGCGACTCATCATCCCTCTCATCGGGGCTAGGAAGAAGGCATGGTAGCAGCGGATTTTCTCCCCACTGCCCAGATGCCGGCTCAGCACCAGCCCTGCTCTTCCTCTCCTAGCTGTTCTCTCCGCCTCCATCTTATGCTGTCACGAGCAGGGGAGAAATAGGAGACTCTCCCTTAATAAAAAATAGGGGAAAATGCAAGGAAACCACTGTCTTGACCATGTAAGTTCAGAAGCAGCTCTTTCTTCCCTCTCCCACACTCTTTGGACAGGGACTTTTCAAATGGTAGGGTCCGGGGGAGAGAGAGGATATCACTGCAAGTCATCACTCTTAAATAGTAGTGCACTCTACATCGAGGTAGGCTGCCCCCATCCCTTATTTGTCACTGCATTCAGAAGCTGGATAAGGACTTTAGCTGGGTGTTTCTGCAAAATGAACAGCAGGGGGAAAGGTTGTTGGCATTTTTAACTGTCGTAATTAGGCTTCAGCGTAAACACCCCTTAGCAATGAATGGAGCTCTTCATGTTTCTCAGATCTATTGTTTCAGGCGTTCTGCAGACACAGCCGTCTGTTTAGAATGTTTTCTCTGAGGGTTAGCAGTGTTTTTAAATGAAAGTCAAATTAATGCACAACCTCATTCTGCCATGAGGGCTGTATTAATGCATCTCTCTAGCCAGAAATTTATCAGTATGTAGGAACAGTTGATCTAGTACCCCAGCCTGCCTCGTGCATCTGTGCATATGCCAGTAGAGGGCCCCAAAGCAGCAGCAGGACTCCCCTGAATAGCCCAGCAGCTACAGCAGAGCATCAAGGGCACATTTACGTGTCCTGGTGAGTGTTACATTGCTCCCCTGAAAACTATGACTGAATCCCAGCATTGGTACTATTTGCTTTGCTGTGTGTTTTGGAGCAGAGCTTCTGTTTGCACTGGCACAGGGAGAACTCAGGTGGACTACTTCTTCCTTCTCCTAAAACAGAGAGCTCAATGTGTAATATTTGGTTATCCTCACCCTCTGTTCAGATGAGTCCAGCTTATTAAAGTCCAACATCCCTTCTTAGAGGCATCTGGTCTTTGTGCTTTAGCAGCCTTATGCTTTTTGGCAAGCAGGCCAGCAAGCTTACATAGAGGAGTTAAAGAAGGAGAGCCGTAATTCTTCCATCAGCATGTCCTGCCAGCACCAACCAACAAATGGTTGTTAGACAACTTTGCCTGGATACCTAAAATGTGATGTTAGCACATGTCAGTTAATACGTTCTAAGAATCTCATGTAGAGAAGGCAATGTATGCTTTAACACACGGTAAAGTAGGCTTTAATTCGACCAATTTAGCACTTTGTTTATGCTAGACTTTTAAAACATGTAAGTTAGCCTGTGTTAGCTACCATAATGCCTTAAATCCTAGTCTAGACCAGGCTAGAAATCGCCTGTATCTTGGTGGGGTTGGGGGGGGGCTACTTAGTCTTGTCTGTACAGTATAAACTTGAATTGACATATGTGAGCTTGAATTATGTTTCTCCAGGTCTCCCACGGGCTCCCTCCCACTTGTCATGCACCTTGCGAACGGACAGACCATGCCTGTCCTCCCTGGCCCTCCTGTACAGATGCCTTCTGTTATATCGGTAAGAGAAACTTCCAGCACATTCTCTGTGGTAAAGAAGGGGACAGCTTTTCTCCTGCCCAACATATGCCGACGCTTTCATTTGCAAAATTAAAATACATCTACCCCTCTGTGTGAGATAAGCCTGACGTGGAAGTGGGCAAGGGCTGATGCTAGCAAGGTAATAATAACACGCCAGTCACACTAGAGGGATATAAGGCTGAAAAATAAAGTCTGGTCTGGGCAGATGGCTCACACCATCGATCCAGGACTGGGAACTGCAGGATCCCTGATTAGTTGGTTGCATTTGGAACGGAATGCCTCAATTGAAACCATTCGAGCTTACAGAGAACATGTTAGTCTTTGCAGGCCAGGAAAACCGCCCGAGCCTGGGCAGTGTGCGAAATGGTAATTTATATTTAACACTGCAGGTTTTACTTCAGCCTAAGGAGAAGTTTTCAGGATACAAAATTCACAAATAAATATACCTTCTGGTGGGCTTGTGTGTGTTGAGTGAGTCAGGCTATGCAAATCCTGTGTCTCCTGCTGGGCGGGTATTTTGTGTTCTGAGTGGGTAATTCCAATAAACTAGTGCCTCAGGTAGTAGGACTGCTGAAGTTGCAATCCACCGGTGGGGATGGGGGGGGGGATGCACATCTGAATGGCCAGTATGCTAAGAGTTTGGCATTTAGGACATCTCTGTATTTTCTTGAAGTATAACTCATGCTCCTAGCACCTTTCATCAGAGTATTTCAGTGTGTCTTATAAAACAGAAATAAAGCCCCATTTCCCCCTTTTAGGTAAGCCAGGCAAATATGCCTGTGTTACAGATGGGAAAGCTAAAACTTAACCAGGATGTTGCTGGAAGTCCATGGTAGAACTGGGCTTAGAACCCAGATGTCCCAGTTTTCACATTCCTCTAACGGCCACCTGGCAGCACTGCACCCTGTGGTGTACAGGTTTTCTGGGTGTGAGGGAAATGAAGGAGACCTTTCACGATATTTTGCCACCTAGTACAGTATATTTCGCTTTCTGTCCTCAGCTGTTGGTTGCCGTTGCTGTGTTCTCTTAAATAGCAGCTGTGGCCACCACGAAGGTGACTGCCCACCTTTGAGTGATTGACGAAACAATCCCCATGGCCATAGTTCTAAAGTTTGTCAAACGCTCTAGGCTGTCTGCATTAAAGGTGCTTTGTCAAATGATTATTATGATGCCATTTCATGCGGGATGCTTCCAGTAGCAATGACGTCAAAATGTGTGTGCTCTTTTCTCTACATGTAGCTGGCTAGGCCAGTGTCCATGGTGCCCAACATTCCGGGTATTCCTGGTCCACCCATCAACAGCAGTGGTTCCATTTCACCATCAGGCCTTCCAATACACTCTGAGGCTAAAATGGTGAGTTCCAGAACATCGAGAGATGCCTGTTGACCTGTGCCAGGGAAGATTGCTTTGGGGGATATATTCATAGAATTGTCGTAAAAGCCTTCACTTAATCTCGGTTAGACCCTCCAGAAAAGAGTGTGTTTAGAATCTCTATACTTATGGCCCTCTCATCCTTCTAAAGAGACACCAAAAGCTCTTGAATAGATACGCCCAAATTAGTGAGCTTAGACCTCTCCCCCCTGAAATCCTTTGCAGCAGTAAAAGCACTGTAGGAACACTAAGAGCAGGTGTTATAAATATATAAAAAACTATCAGGCTGTTCTTCATTAAATCACCCAGCACTGCCAGTTATATGGCCCTTACATATCAATGTCAAGACCAAGATTCCTGATCCGATCTTAAATATGGGACACGTTGTAAAGGAGTGGATTCCTGTTCCAGGATGACAGATGGGGTGGAGATGGGGGGAGGGAGGAGAGAGCCAAGAGGGGAGCGGCTGTGCTGTAGTGATCTGGCAGAGGACTCTAATAATGGTTTTCAGTGGGATGCTCTTCCAACTGTAGATTTATGAAGGAATTTCTTTCTCCGCTTCCCCGGCTCTTACAGCACAAGTGCTAGGTGCACACAAGAGGAAGAAGGAAAGTAGGGATGAGGCGGAGGGAAAAGTAAGTTTGGATACAAAGACGGTGAAAGCACGTTTGTCTTGCTGACATAATATCAGCGTGGACTTGTTTGCAGTCAGGGCTTCCACATTATTATGCGCTCCATTGCTGCAGTGACCTTGGTGCTTACAGTAACCGCTACTACAATTCCACACTAGCTAGGCGTTTGCAAAGATTCATTCTGCATTCATGCACTGAGCTGAAACTAGAGCAGGGGTGGGCAAACGTTTTGGGCCGAGGGCCACATCTGGGTGGGGAAATTGTATGTAGGGCAGGGGGTTGGAGTGCGAGGTGTGGGAGGGGGTGCGGTGTGCAGGAAGGGGCTCAGGGCAAGAGATTGGGGCAGAGGAGGGGTGCGGTGTGTGTGGGGGGCTCAAGGAAGGGAGTTGGGGTGCAGGAGGGTTGCGAGGTGCAGGCAGGGAGCTTAGGGCAGGGAGTTTGGGGGTGGGGTGCAGGAGGGATTCGGGCTCCGGCCTGGCACTGCTTACCTAAAGCAGCTCCAGGATGGCAGCGGTGTGCACCGGGGCCAGGGCGGGCTCCTTGCATGCCTGCCCTGTCCCCGGCCCCGCGCCGCTCCAAGAAGCGCTGTGGCCCCTGGGGGAGGGGGGAAGGAGAGCTCCGCGTGCGCTGCCCTTGCTGCACCTCCAGGTACCTCCCCCGAAGCTTGCATTGGCTGTGGTTCCCCGTCCTCCGTGTGGCAACGCACGGAGCCCTCTGCCCGTGGTACCGGCCGCTTCTGAGAGCGGCGCGGGGCCCACAGCGCCACAGGAGGCCATCCTGCGGGCCGGATCCAAAGCCCTGAGGGGCCGGATCTGGCCCGCAGGCCGTAGTTTGCCCACCCCTGAACTAGAGCATTGTGGGGGATAGGAGGGTAAGAATTCTTAAACTCTGTTATATGTGTGTAACAATATGCTCATGCTTCAGTCTCTTTTCACCTGGGTTAGTGATTGTGTTAGTGAAGACCTCTCTTAACAAAGCTGTGCAAACTTGTCCCTTCTGTGTCCCTCCCCATGTGTCAGACCCACCTCTTAGCATCTGAAGGCTGTTCAGTCTCCACAGTCCATTTGGTCCATTGTCCTTCTGCAGAGACTGCCAGCTGGGGAGCTGATGAGTGCCAGTTGCTGTAGTGATTTTGTGATGTGGACACCTGTCTGTTCTGAACTGGATTGAGAACCACCATCTATCTTCACGTGGGCCACCCAACACCTGCCAGATGATAACAGCTTTTGGCTGGATTTGACTCATCCTTTGAAAAGAGCGAAGAATAAGTTATGTTAGGGCCTGTGTCTCCGAGGCGAATGGAGAACCCCATTGACAGTTCTGTTCTCTCATTTTACAGAGACTGAAGGCCAGCCTGACGCACCAGGTTTCTTCCTCACTGAATGGCAGCAGCATGGTTGTGGGGTCAGCAAGTACGATGGTGACCTCACGTCCAGAGCAGGGTCAGATACTTCTCCAGCACCCCGATGCACCTTCTCCAGCTCAGCCACAGGTCTGCTCCTTCTTAATCTTCAAAGCTATGACAGCTTAAAGCAGTGGGTCTCAAACGTTTGTACTGGTGACCCCTTTCACATAGCAAACCTCTGAGGGCGACCCCCCCCACTTATAAATTAAAACACACTTTTGTATATTTAACATCATTATAAATGCTGGAGGCAAAGCAGGGTTTGGGGTGGAGACTGACAGCTCACGCCCCCCATGTAATAACCTCATGACCCCTGGAGGGAGGGATAGCTCAGTGGTTTGAGCATTGGCCTGCTAAACCCAGGGTTGGGAGTTCAATCCTTGAGGGGACCTCTTAGGGATCTGGGGCAAAATCAGTACTTGGTCCTGCTAGTGAAGGCAGGGGGCTGGACTCAATGACTTTTCAGGGTCCCTTCCAGCTCTATGAGATAGGTATATCTCCATATATTATATTATATTATTATAACCCCCAGTTTGAGAACCCCTGGCTTAAAGTGATGATGGAGGAAGCAAAGATACTGCTACTTCTAGTCTGTTAGGAAAGGGGGGGGGAAACCTCATGAATCTGTCACTCTCTGCTCAGACCTATATGCTTTCCAGTGTGCAGAGCTGTGGGGTTTTGAGGTGGGGTTTGGGGGGGTTGGGATTTAATGTGTGTGAAACACTCCTTTTTGTAGTTTCTGTTACCATCTCTGTCAAACAGTCCAAGTTAGACTTAGGCAACAGGCGCAGTTACTTGATGTGTTCTGGAGTTTAGAAAGAATGTTTTGCTGTCCTCTCCTTTTTAATTGCTAGGGTTAAACACTCCCCTTTTAGGCAATCAACCCCACTTGCTCCTGCCAGCTAACCAAATGCCAGCCCTCCATCAGAATTGCCACCTGCTCCATCAGTTAGACAGGCTTCCAAAAGTTTAATATCCATATGCTGTCTGACAGTGAGTAGTGAAGTGTAACTGGGCTCTCACATTGTGGCTGTGTAATTACAGAGCCGATGCAGTTGTGCTGGGAGGACTGAGTCTGGGGTGATTTCTCCTTGTTGGTTTTTCCTTTGTTCCCTCAGAATACAGCAGGAGATTACAGTGTTACAGAATCCACTCTTAAGTGCCTGTAAGACTTTGTACAACGATGTTGGAACACAGCTGAAGATTGGCTGTGTTACACAAAAGCCCGTATTCCCTTGCAGTAGTGTTGTGTGTATCAGTAAAGATGGCTCTGTTGAGTTGTTTCCCTCTCACATTGTAACCTGTGGTAAATTCCAACAATAAGAAGCTGAATAGTCTTAATTTTTTTGACTGAGGCAGATGCTAGGGGCTGAATTCTAGTGCTGGTGGAAATAAGGATTAAACCAGATGTGCTCTGCAGGCTTCTCCCTCACAGCTCCTCCCTGGCCACAGTTCCAATCAGCATTGCCTCCTGCTCATCCATGATACTAACTCCTGTCCTCACCCTCTCACCCTCCCTGCGGTTCTACTCTTGAGGCTTCTGTCTTTGCAAATTGCGGTAGTGACTTTGTGATATGGACAAATATCTACTGAAAATCAGACTGAGGCCAATCAACTTCCTTCCACTTAATGACCTGAGGTGGGATTTAAACTGTAGTCTTGCTAGAAAAGTGAGCATATTTAATCCACTGCAAGAAATACCGTCTGGTTCCTCTCCAAAACCCATAATATTCTAATATCCACCACTTGACTGGAGATCTCCACAGTGTGTTAAAAATATTCAAATGATGCTGACACTGAGACAGTAGCTCAGAACTGAAACTTCATTGCGCATCTAGTACATATTGCCTATCGATCAACACATGTCACAAGATTCGGTGCTTGGGAGGAAGGATAAGATGCAGGACTGAGAATCAGGGAAGCTGGGTCTCCATCAGAGACTCCCAGTGTTACCCTAAGCAAGTCACTTATTCTACAGACAGGGAAAGAGAGATTAAGTCTCAACAAATCTGTTTGGACCTAATTCATTAATGTCTGTAAAGTACCTTGAGAACACTGGAAGCTGCTCTAGAAAAACAGAGTGTTTTTTAGTTTCAGAGTCAGCAGCTGACAGATCCTACATCCTGACTCTCCAAGCCAATTGGAATTTGCTCTGGACTTAGTACAATCAGTGTGGATAACTGTCTGGTTTAATCAAGTGTGTGTTTTGGTTCAGTAATTCTCTTCCTTCTGTCCTAACTCCAGGTTTCCCCTGCTCAGCCCACACCTAGCACCGGTGGCCGGCGGAGACGCACGATGGATGAAGACCCGGATGAGCGCAGGCAGCGTTTCCTGGAGCGGAACCGTGCCGCAGCCTCTCGTTGCCGTCAGAAACGCAAGCTGTGGGTGTCTTCTCTGGAAAAGAAAGCAGAGGAGCTCACGACACAGAATATCCAGCTGAGTGTGAGTATGGAACCACGGAGGCCAAGCCCATCTGCTTGGCTGCACTGCGGCCTTCACTCCAAGGAGGACGTTTTTACCGTGGTGCAGAGGCACTGTGTGCGCTGGTGGTGGTCTTTAGTCTGTGAGAAACCAGAATCAGGTGGCTAGGAATGTTGCAGGGTTTTTTGTAACGTGTTTATTTTTTCTGTGCTTGATTCGCAAAGGCTTGTGTATGTGCCTCTGGCAATGGAAACCAGTATTTGTAAAGGACCATCAAGTCCAGGATAATCCAAAGGGGTAAGAAAAGGAGCAGGTGGAATTTCATATCCCCATTTCCAACCCCCTCCGCTGCATACAATACATAAGAGCTGCGCACCCGGTCTTGCCCTGAAAAGGTTGAAGGGAGTAAGGGAGAATCTGGCATTGTGCCCTACCACTCATCCTCTCAAGACTGCACCCTGGAACATTTAGCTGCTCCAGCTACAGAAGATAGGTGCTGCAACAGTGCAAAGGCACCAGGAAGCTGCTGTATTCTAGCTGAAAACTCCCCCAGCTTGGGAAGAGCTGTCAACTGGCACAAAGTCAGCCTAACTGGCTTTTGCTCTGTTCTCTGCCGCTTGGGACTGGAACCACAGGCAAGCAAAGAGGGAGCTGCAGCTGAGGCCCAGGGCAATTCAGATTCTCCTTGAAAATTGGGGAGCTCTAACTAGCTCCCTGACAGCTTCTCTCCTGCTGTGCCAAGCAGAACTATGCGTCATTCCCTTCCCATCGCAATTAGTCCCCTTATTAATGCTCTCAGCAGACAGGCGAAGGACGGAAAGGATTCTGAAGACTGAACTCACGTCCGGCGTGGGCTGTTTCCCCCTCTGGTTTTCAGTGACTCATGCAGTGTGCTTCAATAGCACTAATTACGATAGCTTCATTCTCTTTGGCACGCTATCTGGAATGGCTCACAACTGTGAATGCAGCCTGTCAGAAACAGGACAGATACCCCAAGCTGGTGGTGTGTTCTATAATTGGATTTCACCAAACCAGTAACAAACGTGAACTCCTGGATCACTATACCAGTCTTGCCATGGAGTCACAGACCAACTTAGACTCTCCGGACTATCTTACCACCCCGACCAACGGAACTTTGTGATAATGGTCACTTACGCCAAAAATCACACCAGATCAGGTTGCTCCAGTTCCAGGAGACCAGCCACTTACCCCAGATCAACTGGTACTCTGGATCTTACACCAAAGACAATCCTGGCACTTGCAACCAATAGTAAATTAACTAAAGGTTTATTAGCTAAGAAAAAAAATGAGTTATTGAGAGATTAAAGCAGGTAAAATATCTGTCCAGGTGAATCACAGTTTGTAACTCCGAATGGTGGCAGGGAATGGAGGGGAGGGATAGCTCAGTGGTTTGAGCATTGGCCTGCTAAACCCAGGGTTGTGAGTTCAGTCCTTGAGGGGGCCATTTAGGGAACTGGGGTAAAAATCTGTTTGGGGATTGGTCCTGCTTTGAGCAGGGGGTTGGACTAGAAGACCTCCTGAGGTCCTTTCCAACCCTGATATTCTATGATTCTATGATATAGTAAACTGCCAGTTTCCCAAAAGTCTTTCCAGGGTACCTAGTTTGGCTCTAGGGATTTCTGCTTTATATCTGGTACACTTCCTTGTCAGAGTCCAAAGATGCAGGAACTTTCTTTGAATCCCTTCTTATAGCTTCTTCTCACAGAAAGCAAGCGGTCAGTCTCTCTTCCCAGTGGGCTTTTCCTTTGATGACAGCGAGTAAGGAATGCACTTTGAGTCTCAGACCTCCAGTCATCACACACAATGGCCATTTGCTTTGTAATTAGCACTTTTTCTGATAGTCCTTCATTAGCATTCCACAAGGCTTCTTTGATGTCTGATGAGTTATTTAGTTACAGCGGTATTTACAATTTAAATGTTTGATGTTGCATCATAACAGGATACAGATGAGAGAAAACAATGCACTTAACATCCCATTAGTTTTATGAAGTTTAAACACCCAAAACACATATACATTTAACAATCGCTTTGATCTATACTAATACATAAGTGAATTGGCCTGAATACACTCTGACATGACCTGGTCTGCCAGTGTCATACTTGTCACAAGGTAATTGTAGAAGCTGTTTTCCTAGCCAAGTTCAAAGTGCAGTTGACTCGGTTTTCCAGATACAGGGGGACAAATGTTAAACACATCTCAAATTTCAATTACAAACATGCTCTCTGAAATTTTCAGGGGGAAAAATTTTCAACTAATGGCTGAGAGTTAACCTGAAGTTTTTGAAAGCATGAACATTTTTTGTTTTGGTGTTGAAAGGGATGAGAAAGGGATGGAATTGGCTTCAGAATGGATCACTGCTTGCACCTTAATCGTGGGGAGGTGACAGAAAGGAAGGATGGCTTATTGGTTTCTGTGCAAACCTTGGACCTGGAGTCAATTTCCTCCTCTGCTACAGACTTTCTGTTGTGACCTTGGGCACGTCACTTAGTCTCTCTGTATCTCAGTTCACCACCTATTAAATGGGAGCCATAGTAGGTACTTTAGATGGATAGATATAGGTCTGAGCAGCCTCCACCCAAATATATAACAGGCTGACACCTACAGACTCCTCCATATTAAAGGTAAGAGTGGCTGTCGTGTTATGAACAACTTGAGGTGGGCCTTAGGGTCCTGTTTTGTTGCCAGTGTTGCCCTTGATATACCAAAGAACAGACATTCCTGATATGGTTTCACTCTGTATAGCTGCTCATGGTCAGTCCTCATTAATGGTCATCTTAGAAAGATTTTTTGGCCTTCAGAAAGATGCCACTTGAATTTTTAGCTTTCCATCAGGGTCAACAAAATATTGCATTGACTCTTATTGTTAGCATTTCTTCCATTGGTGGTGGTAGCAGGTGGTAGCATACAGACTAATTTACATCTGGAACTTGGGATTTCTCGGTAAGGTACAGGTCTGTAAGAGGAGAACCTTGCAAAGCATGTTTTGTATGCACACTCACTCACACACACACACAACTTTTTATTAAGGTGTTAATTTGTGGTGGTAAACTTTGAAGAGTCTACATGTTCGTATTCTGCCATTGCTAAGGGATATTATTCCGAACACTCATGATCCCTATAAATGTTGTTTTCTTTACCTCAGAATGAAGTTACACTACTGAGGAATGAAGTTGCTCAACTTAAACAGCTACTGTTGGCTCACAAGGACTGCCCAGTCACTGCACTACAGAAAAAAACACCGGGGTATCTTGGTGAGTTGTGACTTGCCCATGTTGGCACTGTACCTTAGAGTACATCTGAGTAGAATTAAACTGAATACAAGACTTACATGAACTTAGTGTTCCTGAAGGATTCTGGACTGACAGCCCTGTGGGCTGGTGTCCTCTGCAGAACCAGGTAAAGCACAAGCAATGGCAGTGCAGGTTTCTCCCATGCCATACCTGGCCAATGTGCCTTATCCCTGCACTGAAGCAAGCCGCATCGAAGTGGCGACAGAGGAGTTCTGCCCTGGATTTCTCTGATGCTCCCAACGAGATCTCCAATTAGTGTCAATTATTGTGGCGGTTCTTATGATGTGGGCCCCTGTCCATTAGAAACTGGACTTAGAACAGACAACTCACTTTGTGTAGGAACAATAATAGTGGTAACATTCTGTCACTACCAATTTTGCTCCAAGACATTGTATAGCAGGCGATTAGTATCATGCGGATGACGGCAGTGTAAACGCTTTGATAATATAACATATTTTTCCTTTTGTCAGTATGTTTCCCTGTAGCATGAAAAATTCTATATGCATCCATCACTCAGACTCCCATTTCTCCCATGAATCTGGTCCATTGTTGCCCCGAATGCTAGGTGTCCTTATCCATTGTTTTATACTGCTCGGTGTTGGAAACGAACGCTGCTGTTTTAAGTGCCGTTGCAGTCGAAAAGTCCAGACTATATAAATGATATCATGGGGTTCCATATTCATCTTCTCTGCAGTTCACATCAAACTGGTTCAGTTTACAAGTGAGAAGACATCTTTATTTTAAACTGCTTGCCAGTAGAGAGACATGGTGGGTGAGGTAGCATCTTGTATTGGACCAGCTTCTGTTAATGAGAGAAACAAGCTTTCAAGCATACACAGAGCTCTTCTTCACGTCTGGAAAACATACTCAGTGTTACAGCTAAATACAAGGTGGAACAGATTGTTTAGTATAAGGAGTTAACACATATTTCAAGGGGACCATTCAAGGCCCGTTACCACCCCTCCAGTCATAGGGAGTCTTAGTTCTCGCTATGACTGGAAGGGTGTTAGCAAGCCTCTTCTCCTTGAATGGATCGTCTGTTCCATCTTGAGGGCATGTCTACACTACAAAATTAAATTGACCAAAATTACTTTGAGGTACAGCCACCGCAGTAATTAAATCGCTTTTGTATGTCCACACTATGCTCCTTGTGTCGGGGTGTGTGTGTCCACTCTAGCGGCACTTGCATCGATGCTGAGAGCAGTGCATCATGGGTCGCTATCCCACTATGCAATGTGCCACCATGTGGGGCAGAGTGTTTTGGGAAGGGTTTGCAAAGCCTCATAGGGCAATCGAGTTGTGCAGGGATGACTGGTAATATGGTTTCAATATCCCATGATAAGAGTTTTCTCCATCCCTTATATCTGCATCCCACAATGTTTCACGCCTCTTTTCAAAAGCCTCCCAAACCTGCACATCCACCATTTCTGTGAGATGCATGGATCCTGCACTGCCCTTCAGCATTGTGCTGACCATTATGAACACAATGCGCCTGATCCTTCAGTATTTTCAGAGCCGCCAGAGGAGCTGCGAGGGATAGGACAATGCCTTGCAGGCTGCCTTGCTGACGGACAAAGAAAGAAGCAATTCAAGGTGGTTCTTGGCATTCACCGAGCAGTTGCCAGATGGTGGAGCGCTGGTTCTGGGCCCAAGAAACAAGCACTGGTTTGGGATGATGAGCAGTGACTGCAAAGCTTTCAGATGCTCAAGGCCACGTTCATGGAATTGTGTCCCCAGCCCTCCAGCGCAGCAACATTAAATGAGAGCCACGTTCACAGTGGAGAAGAAAGTGGCGATCGCTGTATGGAAACTGGCCACACCAGATTGCTACCCATCAGTCGGGAATCAATTTGGAGTTGGAAAATTTTAGCTGTCTCACTCTTGAGCGTAACGGAGATTGTCAGGGAAGAGGTCCTGCAAGCCTCTGGCTGCAGACCGGGTCCGTATGCTACTAGCCTGTGTGCTGCAATCAGGGCCGGTGCTTCCACTAGGTGACCCTACGCGGTCGCCTAGGGCGGCAGGATTTGGGGGGTGGCATTTTGCCACCCTCAGTGGAAATTCGGCAGCGGGGGGCCTTCCGCTCTGCGTCTTTGGGGCACTTCAATGGCGGGTCTCTGAGCGAGTGAAGGACCCGCCGTCGAATTTCCACTGGACCTTCACTCGCTCAGGGACCCGCCATCGAAGTGCCCCAAAGACGCAGAGTGGATGGACCCCCGCCACCGAATGCTCACAGGAGGAGCGCTGCCGCCTAGGGCGGCAAAAACCCTGGCGCCGCTCCTGGATGCAATGGTGCCTACTGAAGTATTTGCTTACTGGTGTGGGAAAGCATCCTGCCGGGGTAGAAGAAATAAGGCAGCCCTCCCCAGAAGCCTTCGGCTGAGGATCGCAGACTCCCTCCAGGAAAGTTTCCTCGAGTTCTCTGTGCAGGATTCACAGGACATCCCAGTGCATGTAAACAAACTGTTCCTCAGGGCCCCCTCTGCCCTAGCTGTACAGGGGAATGGGAAGCAGAGAGGAACTCTGCCTCTATTGGTTGTTTCACTACCTCTTCTAGCCTGATTAAAAAATAGTAAATGAACAGATGGGTCTCTGCAATAGCAAAGCAAATGGCATACTTACCAGAGGTTCCTTCCCTGCATCAGGCTCACCAGTGCTGGATAGTAGGGACCGGCTCGACTGCTCCGGTGTCAGAAAGAGGTCCTGGCTTGCCACGCCACTGAATCCCCAGTCATCTGTCCCCCATATTCCTCCTCCTCGTCCAACACCTCACTGTGCACTGCGGGGGGCCTTTGATTCCCCAAAGTATCCACGGGGCTCTTGGCGGTGGTGGTGGGGTCTCCCCCAAGGATGGCACGCAGATCCTTGTAGAAGTGGTGTGTCTGTGGCTCTGCTCCAGAGCGACTCTTTGCCTTCCTTGCCTTCAGGTATGTCTGCTGCAGTGCCTTATTTTCACGCAGCATTGCTGCATGTCCCTGTTGTAGCCCTTCTTCCCCGTGCCCCGAGTGATCTGCTCATAAATATCGATGTTTCTATGGCTGGATTGGCGCTGTGTTTCCACAGACTCAGGAGATCCCTCACTTCCTGTGTACTCCAGGCAGGAGCGCGTTTGCTGCGCGGAGCCGGCATGGTTAGCTGGGCAGTTGCTAGGTGAGCTCTCCATGCCGAGCAAACAGAAAATGGAATTTAAAATTCGTGGGGCTTTAAAAGAGGAGGTGCATGTACCTGCGTACCTGGCCGGTGCACAGTGGAGTTCAAAATAGTGACTGAAGCAGTCACAATGGGGCATTGTGGGACACCTCTTGGAGGCCACTAAAGTTGACGTAAGTAACGCAGTGTCTATGCTTTCACTGCATCGACCTAAGCACTGTGCCTCTCTGTGGTGGTGCAGTTATTAAGTCAACGTAGCGGACGAGTTACATCATCGGGAGCAATGTTTTAGTGTAGATGCTCACAGAGTTAGGTGGATGTAAGCTGGCCTCAGGTGGCATGAAAGCAGCTCCATCCTACCCCTTCTGCTTCCCATGGGCCTGGCTGCCAGGGAGAGGGACCGAGCGAGCTGAGGGTGAGGCACAGCAGGAGAAGGATAGTGCATCCCCGCTCCAGGTAACTCTGGAGAGGACAGTGCAGCGTCCCCAGGCCAGGTGCAGGGTGGGGGGCGCTGGGGAAGGCACTGGCAGCAGGCTCCCGTATCCCATGTTTCCCCTGCTGATGTGTCCATGAGGGCGTGCAAGCTCCGGGGAGACGCTGTGGTGCTGTGACTCTCCCTGGGCTGGGCCCCGCCCAGCCCAGACTCACGTGTTCCATGCTTCTGTGGCCCCAACCCCTCAGGAGCCAGCAGATTGGCTGCCGTGGCCCATGGAGGTGGGGCTGGAAGGTTCCTCCCAGAGCCAACACGTGGGGCGGCTTTCCCACCTTCACAGTGTACCCCCCTCCCCCCCCAGTGTCAGCTAGTCCCAGTTGTCTCTGAGAGTAGACCAGACCAGAAGAAGAGCTCTGTGGAAGCTCAAAAGCTTGTGTCTCTTACCAACAGAAATTGGTCCAATAAAAAATATTCCTTTACCCATCTTGTCTCTCTAATATCCTGGGACCGATATGGCTACAACCATACGGCTTGCTTCACAGTAATCAGTCTTGGATCTCAAAAGCTAACTGGGTTTTCTGCCTCTTACATTTTCCCCACTAACAAAGGTTTTGTACTCCTGGAATTTGTCTGAAGGCTTATTGATGATGCTGAAGGCAGAGGGGCTCGGCTGGCTATCCCCTAGCTACATCTGCTTGTGTCAGCCTTTTGAGAGTTGGAAACTTGTTTGGGTCGGTAAAATAAGATGGAGGATGCACAGATCAAATAGGAGAAGTAAGAAGGTGTCATGCCTCCATAGTCACACTTCTGACGCCCATCCCATTCTGAATCTCCAAAGCATTCCCCTCTGACGAAATGGAACACAAATATCTGCCTTGCAGGTCCCTGGCATAGCCAGTTTATTTTCAGTCATTACAGTGACTCACAGCCTGAGTAATGTGGTCGTGAAATTCATCCCCATCCCCCAGCCTTTGCAGACAGGTGTTCTTTGTGTATAATGCAACATGATTTTTCCTGTTAACTTCCAGAGTTTACAGTTCCTATTTTTATTCCTCAGTCTGTCTACTCCAATAATAGGAATTCATCACACATCTGAATAATAAAAATGAAATTCACACCTCCCTACCCTATCGCCCTCCTCCCTGGCTGCCTTTTTTATTATAAAGATTTATGACTAAGCATGTCCTTAAACAAAAATGCCAGATTCCCTTGATGGAATTACAGCTGCCTTATGTACAGTTGGGTTGTTTTATTTGTAATACCTAGTAAATCTCCTTTTTGGGATGCCAAACTGTTCTGTTGCTTTGCTCGACCCTCCCTCTTCACCCCCAAATCACTTTTGAAATCTACTGTGCTAGCTGTATCTTTCTGTTAGCTATGTCCTAGCCAGCACCTCACTTACGAGGGTGAGGTAAAATGAGTTTGGGGAAGGAATACAGAGCAATGTGAAAAGATCTAGTGGCAATCTGGATCTTAAAACACTCCCAGCTGTGCACATTGAGGCTGTAATTTCTTCTCTGGTTTCTGGTGACATGGGCTTTACGTGCTTGGTGTGTTATAGGAATCCCGTGTATCCAACCGTAGGTCAATACTTGCTGCTTCAGAGGATGATAACCACATCCTCTCCATAATTCATCTAACCAGCTGTGCAGGAGGGAATTTCCTCTTGACTTAGCCAGATAATGAATGAGCTTATACCCTCCCAAAGCATGAAGTTTGATCACCCTTACTGTAGCATGAGATCAGTCACAAATCATCCTTTTTGTCTAGCACCCCTGCCCAGACACAGTGGGAGAGAATCCAAAGTTTGGACAAACCAATCTGTGTTGACCATTATATGACTGCAGAAGAAGCTTGCTGGCTTTGTCTTGTCCTCACTTCATTGTCCACAGCTTCAAGTTACAGGAAAGTTTAGTGAGCAAGTGGTTTGTGATGAGGTCTAACTGATTGTAATGTTCTAGAGAACGGTAAAGAGTAAACCAGATAATTTATATAAAATTCAGAAAAACTGCTGTAACGGGTATGCGGTCAGCTTGTGGAAGGGTTTCTGTTACATACCTCTCTGTGTGTTCACCCAACAGATGGTAAGAACTCCGAAGGAACTGTTCAGTCTCTGGGCTAAATGGCCTCGAACCAAGTACTATACCAGGAAACATCATGTAGGAAAGTACATTTATTATAATGAGGACATAGCTGTATTATAGGAAAGTTACGCTAGATCTATTGTCTGTGCTTTGATGTTAGCACCTTTTTGCTACAGTTCTCTTTCTAACTCGAGGTTCTTTAAAATTCCCCCCGCTGCTTTTTGCATTTAAATGGGGTGGTTTAGTCAGATCCTAGTTTCGATCATTGTTTTCTGAATCCTTACATTGTCCCTGCTTTTTTCAAGTGGCTCTTACTCTTTTTTACATCCTCTCCTAGGTAGTTGTTATAGAATTGGTGCATGCTGCACCCCCTCTTAGAGGTGGATGCATATCAATGCTGGGTTAAATGGTTCCTGCACATGGATCGGTGTATCCATTCCCAAAGTGCTTTGGGATCAGGCAGGTCGAAAGGCCGCCATGTAAAAGTAAAGCATAGTGTCTGATTAACTCTCTCATCCTCCAGGGATGCTTGGTAGAGTTGGTCTCACTTTCCACTGCCCAGTCTTAATGTCAGTAGCATCATGATGGGTTCCATTCCAATTACTATTTCTTTTTCTTTTTGAAAACAGAAAGCCCAAAGGAGAGCTCTGAGCCTACCGGTTCCCCTGCTCCTGTCATCCAGCACAGCTCCGTGACAGCATCCCCCAACGAGCTCAACGTCCGCTCTGCAGCTGAAGCTGTTGCCACTTCGGTCCTCACTCAGATGGCAAGCCAAAGGACAGAACTGAGCATGCCCGTACAGTGGCACGTCATTATGGCTCCACAGTCTCAGTCTGCTGGCAGATGATGTCACAAACCACATGACAAAGAACTAACCCATAAGAACGTGCAGACCGAGAGACTGATCATAGCTAAGTCCCTGCTTAGTGGGGGCAGATATGGATTTTTTTTTTTTAAAGTAAGTTAAGGGCAGCTATGGAAGCTTCTTTATACTGCATATCCTATACAGATCCTGGCCCAAAACCATTGTCATGTGATCACCTGTCCGTACAGGATGGCTTCAGATTGAGGGATTTCTTGATCCCTTAGTGATGGTCAATCAGCTTGCAGAATCATCAGAACACAAAGAGCCTCATTTGAATGCATCTTGAAAGGTTCATTTTCAGGTATCAATTACGTTAACACTAAACCTCCCCTGGCTTGTGGTTTCTCTTGGCATTATTGCTATTTTAAGTTTCACCTGTTAGCAAAGGAAAGTAGCTATTGGGAGGCTGTGACATTTACTGGTGCTGTCACTTTATTTTTAACAGCTTGCTGCTTCCAATCATCTGTTTCCCCATCACTGCTCTAGCTGACCTGAAACGTTGCACCTTGGCACAAGAATACTGACCGAGTTTTCCACTCGGACTATTGAGATTAAAAAGGCTGAGGATAATGGGTTTCCTAACTCCATGGGTTTAACTTCCCTGACACCAAAGCTTTCTGGTTCTGAAGCAAGCCTGGCACCTCTAATTCACATGCAATTAACCATCATTAACTGCTGTAACTTGTGGGGGTTTTAAGTATGTGTTCGCAGTCACTGGTGCAGCAGTAGGAACTGTTGCATCTGAAGAAGTGAGGTTCTTACCCACGAAAGCTTATGCTCCAATACTTCTGTTAGTCTCAAAGGTGCCACAGGACCCTCTGTTGCTTTTTACAGATTCAGACTAACACGGCTACCCCTCTGATACAGTAGGAACTGTGAACATTTCATGTGCTTCTCTCTTAATTGACGCCATAGCTGCTAATGATGCAGGTTCCTTCTTCAGAAAAGGGCCTGCTTATAAATCTTCCATACAACAGTAAAGCAGCACCGAGCTGCTGTCTGCCAGGACTGCGTGCAAAGCTGCTCTGTGTGATGCATGAAAGGATGAGCTGGGGCAGATGGATATAATGCGAGTCCTGGAATTAACCGGCTACAAAATCCACTACCCATCTCAACAAGTCTTGAATTTAACAAACAAACCCCACACATGTCAAAGGATTATCTCCCATACATTTAACCTGATGACCTTATAAAGTGGTGGCCTTGAACGGAGGGAGGTGGAAGCATATCCCACTTGCCTGGCCTTTTACCTCTTTTAATGGTTTTCTTCTGCTCCTGGTAGTGGTATATCTATTGCTTTTCCTCAAGAGCAAATGTAGTGCTTTTAGAGCTTCCAGGTTCATGGGGTAGATTTAAAACCAGCCTTGACATTTTAAAGGCACTTGGAATTGTCTGCTTATTGCCAAAGTGAGTGTGTGTGTGTACATTCTTTAGGTTGTCATTGACCTTTTGCTTGCTGGGTAATAGTTGTAGATTTGAATTTGTATTTTGGGAGCCGGAAAGGGATGCTGTGTGAATTTGTGCAACAGCAAACCCATCAATCGGTGAAACTCTCAGCACTTCATCTTTCTTTCCTTCTTTAAAGACGCTTTTCCTTCAGTTGAGCTCTTTGACAGCTTCACCCTGAGCTGCCAGACCACCTCAAATTGCACTTGCCACTTTTGACCGTCAGTAGTTTGGCTTCTCTAGACTTGGAATATTTGCCAGGGACCGCAATACCCAAAGCAAAATCTGAGCATGTAGAATTTGACCCCACCACCACCACCCCCAGATACAGGGAAATTCCGTTTATTGCTTCTTTAATTAGGGGTCTCGTCTCCCCCTTTTCTCCCTCAGGTTTCTCCAGGCCTCTCTGCCATATTCTCTAATGTATTTCATGGTCCTAGTTATCTCTTAATACACTGCCACCATGTGTTTGTCGCACACACTCTCACACATCATCATTCCTGAGATTTTTTGTTTCTTTGCCCTCTCAATATTCAAAGACTCTGGAGCTAGCCGCTCTTGCATCTCTGTTTAGAACCTGTGTGTAGTTACTGCAAGAGGCATTCCAGATCAGGCACTTCATTTTTTCCCCTTAAAGCTGTTTATATAGAGAATTTGCATATAGGAAAGTGCTTTGAGTATGACTGTCCCAACAGGGTGTCTGTTTCCTTGATGACAAAGAGCTATACCATCAGCAGAGTTTTCAGGATCTTGTGAGGATAATGCAACAACCGTGGAAATGGTTTATAAAGTCTAACGGCCTGATTGGATAAGACACAGGGCCTTTATTTGGCTAAGAATCCAAGACAGAAAGGGATCATGGCCATGTTGTCAGAAGTCTAATAGGACAGGGGAGGGATAGCTCAATGGTTTGAGCATTGGCCTGCTAAACCCAGGGTTGTGAGTTCAATCCTTGAGGGGGCAATCTGGGACAAAAATCTGTCTGGGGATTGATCCTGCTTTGAGCAGGGGGTTGGACTAGATGACCTCCTGAGGTCCTTTCCATCCCTGAGATTCTGTGAGCAGGGAATCTGTTTGTAACTATAACTACTTTAGTCTCTTGCAGACACTTCACTGTCTTGGTGCATAGCTCTGACGGATTCATTAGAATAGCTGGATTCATATGTGTGGCTCAGGAGGCCCAAACAGCTTCTCCATGTTAACTGATCATACTCCACTTCCAGCCCGCAGGCTAACATTAGTGTCTCAAAGCTAGTGGATGTTTAGCAAGAGGTAGGGGAAGCCCATTTTAACACCAGCACCGGTGCATGTTGAGACAGCACCGCTGGGTAAATACTGCCTATTGATAGCCTTAACACATGCATAAAGCAGCCTTCAAATACCTTCAGCTGTTAAGAGGCTGGCAGCTCAAGGATACAGCTGCACAGTAGACTGTACAGAAGGGGATGGGGTGGTAAGTACAGCTTCAGTTGGACAAGTGTGAAAAGGCTTTAACCGAAAGTGAATTTGCTTTGGTGCTCACAAACCGTATTAATTTCCATGGAGACTTGTACAAGGGACCATTTTTTGGTCGGCGGAAAGCAACACGCATGTGCCCGTATGTGTGTTTGCACAGCTATCTTGGAATCGTTTCTTTCCTTCTTCCTGCTCCTCGAACTCTTAGTTGGAACTGAAACAATACCATGTGACTTAGGTGAGCAGTCACATTTCAAACAGGGAGTAATCAAAGGCATAGTAGAATGGAATAGCTTCCCAGCACCACATAAGCTGTAGTGGATTTGTGTAATGAGTTTGAAAGCTTCAGATTGCAAACAGACTTGTAAAAACCAATCCATTGAGCAAAAACGGACAACGTTTTTTTTAACGGATTCTGTTCTAAATAGATCACTCTGCTACAGTCACGACTAAGGGTCTGTCTGCTCAGTAGAAACTGCACATGGGCTAGCTGAATCCAGTACTCAAGACAGCAAGCCAGTTACGTACCCAGGGCCCATGCTGGGCTTGTGCTCCCCTCAGCTGCAGCTCGTACCATGTTGTGTTCACTGCTTCTGTTACCCATGCTAGCTGGATTAAAGCTAGCTCCGGTAGATTAGCCTATGCACAGCTTTTGCTGTGTAGACAGACCCTAAATTGCTGATTCTTTTTTCCCCAGCACCTGTCTTTGTAATGGGAGGGGCTTAAGAGATTCAGAAAACAGGGAGATGCTTGAAGTGGAAAAACTCACCAAGTGTCAGTGTAGTGGACTCTGGTCCCTGCTCGCTACTGGCCCCTTGTGGTCAGTTGTGGTGTTGTAAGATCCTCCATCTTAATTCCTCCTTCCTGTTTTGAACTTCCTAGGACTTCTTCCCGTAAGTTCAAAACAGGTTTTGTATTGCAAAACAGCCCTTTTTTCAACAGAAAACCCCACAAATAAGGAAAAAACCTCAGGCCTCTGGTCCCATTCTTGTTCCTTCTTAAAAGGACCAGTCATCCAGGCACACACAACAACCCAGTCAAGGGTATTTCTCACACACCTCGGTCTCTGACAGTTTGAACGGTGGGGTTGCTTCTCCCTGGGGTCTGGAGGCAGGCATTCAGGTAGCTCTGGATAATGGGTGATTTTGCTGTAGATCCTGACTCAAGGGGTTTGAGTGAGCAGGAGAAAGCAGAAGAATTATAGGTACTATAGTCTTTAGTCACTACAGCTGTAAGTACAGCAACCATCGCATTCGTTACCAAAATGGTGTGGAACTGATTGAGAGGTGTGTGAACTTCTCCCTGGGACAGTACAGCATTAGTGTAAAATCTGGCTGCTTTTTGCTCTCCTTACTTAACCACTGGGGATCAAAAATTACACAAGTCTGCGATCTGGGAGTTGCTACCAGGTCCTGCCAGAAAACTACGGCTGGCCAGACAGAGCAGTGACTATTGGGAGCTGAGACCTCATGCCCTACTGGGTGCTAGAAACATACAGTGTACCCACGGAATATTTCCTGCCCTGACAAATCACCAGATACCAGACCTTAAAATCTTGTCCTTCTGATTACCACCTTGTGCCCCACCCACTTCAGTTCTGACATGGTTTGTGTGTATGCTCTCCTGAACTTACAGAGCTATAAACTAATGCTTTCTACCATCTGGAAGCAGCCGGGAATTCCATCTTTCAGATGATGTGTAAAGCATTAATCTTTATGGGGGTTCATGAGCAGCTACTAAACATCCAGCCAGAATTGAAGTTTAGAGGAGGGGAAAGCAAGATCATAATTTGTGACATGATTTTTTATGTACGCAGTCAAGTTAAATCACACTTCAGTCTGACAATTTTTACCTCCTCTTTATAGGTGATGCCTAAGATTGCTAGCAGTTGGAGATAAAAAAATAATTATTTGTAAACTTTTTTCCCCCTGTATAATTACTCTGCATAGTTAGCAATATCTTAGTTGGGTTTCAGTATTTCTCCTCTGTCACTTAGTCAGTTCCCCTGTATGTTTGAATCATTAGTGTGTTAAAGGGAGAAACATCTTGGAAAAATAGGAAAATATGCCTGTAAAACTGCAAACGTTGGCAGAAGTGCTCAGGAGACATGTAGACCAGAAACTGCTTTTAATGGTAATTGACTAGATTTCAAGCTGACTGTTTCCCCTTGAAGTGTGTGTCACTGAACATGCTAAAACAATGTTCAGTGTTTAAAATATTTGTATGTATTTAAATAGAAAACTCAGTAGTTTCACAGAAGAGGTGGAAGTGAGTTTAATCTCCAGCAGAGTCTGAGCGTGTCTGAGTCCCAGGCTGCTGAAGACAAACAACAGTTTCTCTTTCTGTGTTCAAAATAGGTACATGGGCATGAAACTTTCTCCAACTTCCTTCATGGGGCCTAGGGAGCTCCTTGGGTAATGAGCTTAGCACACAGATGTCCTCTCTGACTTCCCTGGGAGAAGGAAATGCAGCGAGGAGTCAAAATTCTAACTTTGGCACCTTTGAGATGTTCCGCAGAACAAACTCAGGATAGCAAACGTATTGAAAATAACTTCAGTACTTTAAGAGACACCTGTATTTCTAGGTCCAATATCTTATAACCTGCTACTTCTGGAAATACTGGCAGGAGCACTACAAATGCTGTCAGGACCAGTAACTCCATCCCCTATCTCCCTCAGTATGGTTCCTGGATCAGTGATCAGAATAAAACATATTCTGTTCCTACTCAGTGTCCATTTCAACTAAGGCTTGCCACTGAATGAATGTATTGCTAGAGCAGCTCCAGGTTTGGGGGTTCCCCACAACTACGTAGCTAGCTTAATAGTATACAAGACAGCTTAGCTTTCACTGACAAGCTGATCTTTGCCTGGCCTTAGTAAAAAGGACAAATGTAGAAGTAGTAAACAGGAGTTTTGGACGTGTAAATGTCGGCGATCCCCTTCGTTATGGGGCACACACCTGCCTGGTACTACCTTGTGAAAAGCAATCATGACTGTGCAAAATGTTTTAAACAGGTTAAAGGTTTTTTTTTAAAGTATTTTATTTTAATCTCCCCAATCCTGATTTTAATATCAGCCCTTCCCTTCCCTTCCCTCCCAAGTTCCTTGCTGTGAGCTAGCCTGAAATGTAAATAGGCTGAGAGCTGCTTCCCATCCATTTTGAAGCAGACACATCTATATAGAATGTTCTCATCTATCCCACTTCACGTAGAGGGCCTGATCCTCGGAGATGCCAAGAGCACTCCTCTCCCATTGAAACCAGGAAGAGCTATGGTTGCTAAATATCTTGCAGGAAGCATCACTGGATTGAGGCCCATAAGGGAGAGATGCTGCCAAAGTGCCCTACTAGCTCCAGTAACCTGTGGCAAAATCCTTTGCTGTTTTCTTACCAAAATGAAGTGGTGCAATGCATTGCATGCAGACAGCACTTCCTGATCCGCTCTTACCGCATAGGAAGGATGTCCATCTGTGAGTTGTCTGTCAAGCAAACGAGTAATTGTGCTTTTAACTAGATTAGTCACCTGTATGGGAGTTATCAGGGCGGTAACCTAGGGAGAGGATGGGCTCTGGAGAGTTACAACAGATGCAAAAACCCCAGAAGATAACATTATTGGATTTCAGATTTGTTGGTTTCAATGGACAACTACTTCGGTGCTAAGATTTGAATTTTAGGGGCCCCGTTTTTCCACTAGGGCCTCATTTAATCACAACTGCATGGATTTGCTCATGCAAATAGCCTGGCTGTGCTCGAGTAAATAAATACTGCAGACATAGAGGAAGCCTGCTGAAAAGATGTGGCCCGTGTGAAGTTCTGTCCTGTAGCCAAGCAGCGTTTACAGCCCCCGAGGAGCCTTTATATCATGAGGAATATCATTCACTGACTGTTGAGTGTGTGTTTAGAACACTTATGAAACCAGTTGCTAGGTTATTCCTTTAAATCACCAGCTTTTCCATAATTTGCATCTTTGCCTAGAGATGATTTCCTATTAATCTGTGTGTAAATTACTGATCACTGTCGAGAAAGTCCTACCTTCTTGGTCATTGGTTATGGCTTTCTGTGATCATCCTTGCCGCTAATGAGGATTGTACACGTTGGGAATTTCCTTCCAGATCTATAGATGGGGGATGCCCTTTTTTATCCCATTTTCCTGTGCTGGCTTAGCTACCCACATAAAGGCTGCACATCCTCATGGACTTGTTCGGTGACAGCTGCTTTTTCAACTTTTTTTGTCTTCCCAGTTTCCGGGCTTTTCAGGCAGCCTTCCCAATATCATCGTAGGGCTTGGAGTTAGCTAAAGTGACTTTCCCTGGCCATCCCTGTTGCTTCAGCGATTAGTTGTCTTAGGCCAAAGGGGGCCGTGACTAATGCCATTTTCAATTAATTGACTGCCCACACTTACTTTTCATGAGAATTTCTCCCCCTGGGAACGACACAGAATGTTTTGGATTGCATGTGATCTTTGGCCCTTATGTGTGGCCTACTTCACAGTGGGAAAATGATCCCCTCCTGGCTTATTTCATGAGGCCAGGAAAAATATTGCAGTGTTTAAAAGTACCTTTAAGTTCTTATTGAGCAAGGACTAAGCACCTGCTGTAGGATCATACTCATTCAGAGCCGTATTTTTTAATCAGTGTTTACCACCGTTATAATAGAAACAAATAATAATAAATTAGAGGCAATTATGATAGACGTGCATTTCTTTCCTTACAACATCAGAATGTCGAACCCCATGACAATCTCAGCAAGAATCTAGCCTGGCCCTCAGGGGCTCATAGCAGAGAGAAACTAATTTTCTCCTTTTGTTCTCCCAAGCCCATCCAATTAAGACTAAAAAGATCGGATCCCTCTGTATATCTCTTGAATTCCACTGTTGCTTTTTGATAAAATTAGGTGTGGAGTAGGACCTCAACCAAAGCATTAGTGTTGCCTCTTCCTTGTCGCTGTGGCTTGACAACACTCTGATTGGTAGAAAATAAAATTTTAAAAAAATCTAAAGTGAACAACAAAACAAAACAGGGCTCCTGACAGAGAGCTCTTCGATGTGAGAGCAGCTGGCACTAATTCCGTGCCTTCATTGTAGCTTTTCTCTCATCTTTGTCATGGCATGTACACATGTACAGTACACATACCTTGGGTAGTTAGGGTGACCAGATGTCCTGATTTTATAGGGACAGTCCAGATTTTTGGATCTCTTTCTTATATAGGCTCCTATTACCCCCCACCCCCTGTCCCGATTTTTCACATTTGCTGTCTGGTCACCCTAGGGGTAGTAATCTTGTACTCAAAAGCTCTTGTTACTATTAGGGTTGAGTATTAATGGTCGTGAAATGACTAGCACCTTTAAGAGCTCATCTGACAGAATTGTGGTGCCTTTGCTTTAAGATTTCTTTTGGTTGCCAGCCAAAAGAGATGCAAGTTTGTTGAGAGGAGGGGTGGGTTCGAGGACCAGGCAGGGCTGGGTTATGAAATTGAGTAAGTCCCGTGCTTTGTGGGTCTGCAGCCAAGTACAAACAAAAATCCCCACTTTTCAGCTCAGCTCAGGTCCTTTGGCTCCTGTATTAGCAAGTTCAGGGCAATAACTGGGAGGTCTCGACTTATCAGCACTATGCTGGTGAAGGAGCTAATTTTCTAGTACTTTTGACTTAAATATATCATCCAGATTGTGGTGCAGTTCCCTGAGAGCAGGAGCACTTTGCTGGTCTCATTCCAGGAGGGAATTTAGTGTCGGTTCTCAGTGGACTAGGGAACTGCATGGTGAGCAAGCTGTGGGTTTTGTGGGTTAACCTCTGTGATTGTGGAACTCCGGCCGCGTGGAGCAGCCTATTTTGTAACTGATTTTTTTTTTTCTCAAAGATTCGCCGTCTCCGTGGGAGAGGAGGGGAGACTGGAGTTCGCTTTTGTGTTCTAAAACCAGGTGGGCCTCTTACCCGGTTTTACAGTCAGGGTGGATAAAGTACACGGGAGTCCTGTGACTTGATTAGAGGACCCAGTGAGCCCAGGATGTTCCTGAATCCTCTAGTCCCATGTTGTAACCACTAGTCAGTGTGATTTTCCACTTCGTTGGGGGTGCTGTTAAGCGGGTGCTTGATTCCTGCCCTGAGCTGACTGCTGTCATCCACCTCCAATCCAGAGTTCTTAAATTCACCCTGCCGCCCCCACTCCACGACCTGAACCACTACATACTTTTTTTCTTTTAAGCTTTTCTCCAGCAGGAGACCTAGGATAATGTTTCTGCATCAAACATACAGTTTCTGTTTACGAGACGCGGCACCAGGAGAACTCAGGATAGGAGAGTCCTGAGGCAGGATGGGTAGTTATGTGAAGCGTTTCCTTTTTCCACCCATAACCCATTGTTTACCCAAATGAAATGTAAGGAACTCTCTAAGCCAACCCACCCCCACATGTCTTATAATGTCTTATACATTAGACACAGGCCTTCGACTCCTTTTGACAGTCTGGCCTAGCTTCAGACAAGAAACATTTGAAAACATACGTGTCCTTAGCGAGAGCCACTTGGAACTTGAACATCAAACGTGCTGAGCTCTGTTCTGAACCTAGAAGCTGTGGCTTTAAAGCAGGGTGTTCCTTTTACAGCCCATATTGACAAAGGGAGGTGAGGACATATTTTTTATTGGACCAATATCCGTTGGTGAGGAAGACAAGCTTTCAAGCTACACAGAACTCTTCTTCGGGTCTGGGGTATCTCTCACTGAGAGAAGTTGGTCCAATAAAAGATATTACCTCGCCCACCTTACCTCTCGTGTCCTGGGACCGACCCGGCTACAACGACACTGCGTACAAAGGTTCGATTAAGCAGGCCTGGCATTGGACTCACCTATGAGATTTGCTTATTGGCAGGCTTACAGGCTAGACATCAATCCCCTCGAAACTTAATCATGTAGCATTACCTAGTGCACCTTGGTTGCAGCCCCAGTTATGTGCGACACAAATGAAGGGGTCCTTTATTTTGCATCATGTCTGATTGGTTAATTTCCAGCCCCAGCAGTAGAGGTATAAGGTGCTTCTGGGTCAGAGACAGACTGAATGTACAGTGAGGTGTCAGCAGTGTTAGGCAGAGGTTTCATTGAGGTTTGGAGCTCTGGTGGCTCTAAATCCGCATTTCCAGTTGGGACCTTGATGCCTTGGCTGTTTCTGGCTGCTGCTTTGGTGCCCTCTAGTGGAATCTGTCGCACTGTACAGGCTGAGGCCTTGGAAAGCCGACCCCACACATTGTTTTGTGTGGAAGGGCTACTTTGTTCAATGTAACAGCTGGCACCGATGCATAGAATTTCACTTTGATTTTAGTCTCCTTAGTCAGGGCTGTGCCCTGGGCACTTCTGCTTTGGAGCAGAGCTTTGGGCACCTTCGCTCAGGTGTCTTGATTTCCAGTTTTGGTGCTATTTCTGAAACACAGGAGGGCTCTGCATACCAGAAACCTTGATTTCTCTTCTCCCCCACCTCCTTGCCTCAAGCACCCAGGTGGGATGTTATAGAGCAACAAGGAGAGAGAGGTTGTTTGAACAAAATCCGCTCTTCCTCCTAAAACCAGTCTCCATCTGGGCATTTTATACCATGCTCATCACCTTTTTTTATCTGATCTTTGAGACACTTCTCCGCTGACTGTAAAGGTGCTAAGGACTTGGAAAGGTCCAGAGACACTGTTGTCTGTACCCCGTGGAATCTAGCACAAACACAACCATGGCGCTGGAACAAGAAGCTGCCTTTGTTCAGCTGGGTCTGTCCCCCATGAGCCCTTTTCTCCTATTTAGCATTGTGTGCTGTATACTGCAGGACTGAATCATTATCGTTGTGTTAAAAAGTCCCATCCCAGGAGTGCTGTAGAGTCCTGGATCGCCATATGTTCTGCATTTGTTGTGCTGTATTGCTTTTATTTTGGGAGGGGGTGGGGGACACGGGAGAAGGCGCTGCGGATGCTTTTGGCGTGGGGCAGATTCCCAGCGCACCCTGGATCCGGTAGCGGCCGCGGCTGCACAAAGCCAGCACCTTCTGTCTTGAAGGAGACTGTTATAATTGCAGAAAGGAGTGACGGGAAGGGTATGTTGTAGGTAGCCTAGGTTGCCTTAGCCGTTTTCCACCTAAGGCATGGGGAGGGGAGGATGATGTGCTGGAAATGGGAACTTATCTCACACCCGGCATGGTCTATTACAAATGGTACTTGACCAAGATAGGGGCTGGATGTTTGTCAGCTTTTTCTCTGGAACTCCAGGCAGATGCCAGTAGTGGAGCCGGTTTCCGTTGCGCTGAGGTTTCTTATGCAGTCAGGCAGGGAGGCACAGTCTGACCCCAAACTCAGCCCCGGTCTACACTACAGACTTTGGTTGACGCAAGGCAGCTTACATCGACCTAACACTATAAGCATCTACGCTAAAATGCAGCTCCCGCCGACGTAACTCGCCCACTGCACCGACTTAAGAACTCCGGCGTAGCGCTTAGACCGATGCGGTGTCCATGTAGACGTTGCGTTGCTTCCATCAGCTGTTGCCGCCTTGCAGAAGCCATCCCACAACGCCCCACGCTGACAGTTAAATTGGTGCAAGCGCTCCTGGGGAGGATGCACACTGCTGACACAAGCAGCGTAATGTGGATGTGCAGTTTAATTACTGCGGTGGCTGTAAATCGAAGTACCGTAGGATGACGTAATTTTGTAGTGTAGACTTGCCCTTGGCATCTTTCAATCCTAATGGATTGGGAAAGGAATCACTTAATGAGTAATGGGAAGTAAAGGTCCGCCTGCCCCTCAGGCTCCAGGACCTGTTAATCACTCCCTTCCTGTGGCGCATTACGAGACCACCACTTGCTGCTTTTGCCATTTGCCACACAGTACTGAGCTGCCGAAGCAACTCCATGATACTTGACAGTCACAAGAAGCCTTTGTTTTTTGTCTGTTTGTTTTTTAAAGGGCTAAGCCAGTTGACAGAGGTTGGCTGCAGTGGAGAAAATCCACTTGTGGGTTAAAATGGGGTGTTAATTTTTAACTTGTTGAGAGATGGGGGCCCAACCACACGTTTTTATGGATATGGAAACCTGGAGGCTATGGGTTTGGCCCACTGGAGATCAGGGTAACCCAGATCCCTCCAAGTTCTAGACTGCCCAGAGCCAGAGTTTTCGTTTGAGCCCAACTAACTGAGGGACCTACAGCCTCTGAAATAACATGGTAGCGATTTCACCTTTAAATCTGCTCCACTAACTCTGCTCTAAAATTCAGTCAATCTTAAAACGTTTCACATAAATGAGGCCGGCCCCGCCCTGGCCTCTGCTCCCCTCTCTCTTCTACTGCAGATGGAAGGAGTGTTTTAGCCCAGGCCAAAGCTGCTCCGTTGCCTTGGAAGAGAGAACAGGTTATTTCTGACTCCTCCAAAGCAAGGGCAGCCCATCCAGTAGCCTTGATTCTCATTAGCACCCCCGGGTGTCGCATGCAAGGCCTGCAAGACAGGTGACCTCTCCCTTCCGTCTCTGGACTAGAGGCATCACGAAAGGAATGACCTTTGTCCACGGGCTCCTGCCAGTTGTCCCGGGTGCTCTGTGGGAGCAGGACGGCAGCTCTTTGACACATGGCCTTCCAGGTCGAACAAAGTCTTGCTCTCTCCCACACACCTCACAGCAGCCGCCCAAGGAGCCAGGTCCCGGGATTTGCCTTCCCCCAGCACAAAGAACCAGTCTTCTTTTGCATGGGACTGCAGTAGTGGAAGAATCCACCTGACACCTGCCCTTCAACCAATAGCTGGCTGTTTTATATGGAGAGCTTTTACGATCAATAATGGAAGAAAATAAAAAAACCCACAAAAAGAAATCCCTGAAAAGCTTAACCACAAGGGTGTAGTATCTCTATAAAAGAAAATACCTATCTATGAATATATATAGAAATATATCGACATATATCAACTTTCCTGAATGGATGCGCAATTCCTTATGCAATGAAATTGTTTTTAGATGTATCCAAACCTGGACTCCCCGACCCTCCCTCCCTGCGACAGGTTTGTTGTACAATTCTTGACTTGCTCTGCCTTTCGCAACAGAACGCGAGGAGGTGCAGGCAGGTCGCACTAGCAAATAAAAAACGTTCTTCACCGAAGTGCTCCTGTGAGCAGGTCCTCACAATTTAGCATTAGCCCGTGCCGTGGATTCCTGTTGACCTGTGTGTCCGCAAGGGCGGGGGAGGGTCGTGGCACGGCCCTGTGTTGTATTTTGCTGTTTAAAAACAAAATCTTGGCACTTATCAATTTGTTCCTTCAGCCACTGTTCTTACCAAACATATAATGTGCCTTTTATTTATGCTGCAAATATAACATTAAAATATTAACAAGGATAAGCTCTCTGCTGTGTGAGTCTATTACAAGCAAACCCCAACAGGCATACGCGGGAGGAATCTTCACTGGATAGACCAGGGGTCGGCAACCTTTCAGAAGTGGTGTGCCGAGTCTTCATTTATTCACTCTGATTTAAGGTTTTGCGTGCCAGTAATATATTTTAACGTTTTTAGAAGGTGTCTCTCTATAAATCTATATTATATAACTAAACTATTGTTGTATGTAAAGTAAATAAGGTTTTAAGGCTTTTAAAAGTTTAAGAAGCTTCATTTAAAATTAAATTAAAATGCAGAGCCCCCCGGACTGGTGGCCAGGACCCTGGGCAGTGTGAGTGCCATTGAAAATCAGCTCGCGTGCCATCTTCGGCACCCGTGCCATAGGTTGCCTACCCCTGGTATAGACATTTCTCTCTCTCTCTCTCCTAGTATTCTGTCTGTTGCTTTTTTCCATGTGTTTCATCACAGCAGGGGCGGCTCTATGGTTTTTGCTGTCCCAAGCACGGCAGCCAGGCAGCTTTCGGCAGCATGCCTGCGGGAGGTCCGCTGGTCAAGCAGATTCGGCGGCATGCCTGCGGGAGGTCCGCTGGTGCCACAGACCTTCAGCGTCCCCGCCGTTGAATTGCCACCGAAACCGCGGGACCGGCGGACCTCCCGCAGGCATGTCACTGAAGGCAGCCTGACTGCCGCCCTCACAGCGACCGGCAGGCTGCCCCCCGCGGCTTGCCGCCCCAGGCACGCGCTTGCTGCGCTGGTGCCTGGAGCCGCCCCTAATCACAGGCCTGGTGTTTGTGAGCAGGCAGAAGGTTGAGCAGATAACCCCTTTCCACACCACTGCTCCCAGAATAGCAGGCCCTGACTTCTTAACGGCAGAGGGGCCGGGCTGACCAATTTCACAACTGTGTTGTAATACAAGGTGCAATATTGCGTGATTGTTACACACTCTGGGCGGCCTGTACAGCTCCGGGCAAGCCCTAGGTTAGATTGCTGCTGTGACTCCATTTCCTCTGCAGTTGTGGCATTCGGTAGATGGTCTTCCTGAAGACCATCGTAAGGGTATGTCTACATTGCCCTTAGACACCCAGGCCTGGTCTATGCCATCAGTTGCAGTGTAAACGTTGAAACCCTCCCACCTTGCAGGGTCCTAAAGCCCAGGCTCCAGCCCGAGCCCCAACATCTACACTGCAATTAAACAGCCCCGTTGCCCGAACCCAAGTCAGCCGGCACGGGCAGGCCGCTGGTGTGTCCAATGGCAGTGTAGCCATACTCTAAGTGAGGTGTTCAGCAAGGCCAGCTGGTTCCTGTAGAAAGCAGAGCGCTATGGGAATAACAGGCCACTTCGAGCAGGAACTTGCCCTGTACCCAATCGTCCCGACGCCCCAGAATCTCTGCAACATTAGCAGCACAGCTCTGTCCTCCAGTGGGCTGCTACTAGAAATAAGGCACACATTTGTAACAGGGTGATTGACTACTGGAACAAACTACCCATGGAAGAGGTGCATTCTCCATCTCTTGATGTCTTCAGACCCAGACTGGCAGAGGTGCTTTAATCACACACAAGTTCTTAGGCTCAGTATAGGAATAGCTGGATGAAATTCTCTGGCTGGTATCATACAGGAGGTCAGACCAGATGTTCTGATTGTCCATTATGGTGGTAAAATGTAGACTTCAAAAAAGTTCCCTCATAAGAGGCTACTAAAGAAGTTCAGGGGTAAGGCAAAGTGGCGCAGAAACTGACTAAGTGACAGGAAACTAAGAATAGGAATAAATGGTCAGTTTTCATCCCAGTCAAAAGTTCACAGTCAGTGCTTCGAGGTTCTGTGCTTGGACAGGTGAGCTGTGAGGTTCTGGGGAAGGCAGGGGAGAAGGAAGGTCTAGAGAAGATGGTGAGGAACTTCAGAGAGACCTGACCAAGGGAAGTGAGTGGGGAACACAGGTGCAGATTGAATTTAATGGGTAAAGTAATGCACGTTGCGGGGAGGGAAATGGAACTCCTCCTGAATCTTACTGGGTTTTGAATCAGGAAAGGGAGACCTGGTAGATCGCTCCATGAAGTCGTCTGCTCAATGTGCAGTTGAGAAAAGCTAACCAGGTTAGAACACGGAAGGAATGGATGGTGAATAATCCTGAGAAGATAACGCCATTAGAGGAATCCGTGGTGCAGCCTCATCTGGCTACGGTGCACAGCACTGGCCAGCCCATGAAAAGAAAGGCGAGTGCAGACCAAGGGTGGGTCCGAGAAGGGTGATGAGAATGACGAGGGGCCTGGAAAAGCTCTTGGAGGAAGAGTGGGATTGTTTACCATCTAGAGGAGGTGAATAGGAGCAGACCGGATTGATGTGTGAATGGGATGGAGAAGGTGAGTTGGGAGTTTCTGTCTTGTCTCATGAGACGAGCGAGGGGACGTTCAGGGAAAGATGACAAACACTGATCAAAGGAAATATTTCCCCATCGAATGGGATGTAGACTCTGGAACTCCCTGCCACATGACACTGCTGAGCCCAAGAGCTGTGCAGCACCCAGAAAGGCCCTGGATATTTCTCTGGCCAGCCGCAGTAGCCAGCGCTAGACTAGCTAATGCTGACATTGGAAGGGTTATGAAACCTCAGCCAATCTCTGCCAGGGGGGTTGAAGAAACGGCCCTGGGGGTAGATTATCCCCCAGCAGCGGCTCTAGCGCCTTCCTGCTGGCCACGGTCAGAGACAGGACACTGGACTCGAGGGACTTCAGTCTGGCAATTCCTCCATTCCCAAGGAGCTGTGCCCCAGTGGGCCTCCCGGGTGAGTCACATACACATCTCTCTCACGCTTCCTCAGCAGCTGGCTTCAGCCACGGCTCTCACTGCGCCTGGACCAGCATTCTTAGCCCTGCAGCCCTCCCCTGGGGCTAACCTGGATGAAGGAGCGCTGTGACAGGGGTGAGGGGAAGAGCTCACAGTGATTCCTCAAGCTGCATGGGCACTGCCCGGCCCCTGGCACGCATGGGGTTAACTCCAGTTTCCCTTCTCCTTTGGGACGGGGTGCAGTGGAAGCGCTGCTGTCCGGACACAAGGAGCGGAGGCTTGCAGGAAGCAGGGTTCTCCCCCCCCAGGCTCGGAGAGTGAGCCCCAGCAGTGATTGTTCTGCCCCACGCGTGGCGGGTGCTGGACAGGCCAACCTGTCTTCCATTTTGATTCAGTCGTACCCCAGCTCTCCTGGCTTCCAGTCCCCTGATCTCACCCCTCAACCAGCTCATGCCTTTGGCCTTGGAGCCCGAAGGGCAGAGATAGGACACTGGCAAGGGGTAGAACAAGCCTGCCCACCCGCCGCCTTCCTCTAGGGGGGCTGTGGGTTCAGATCGTGCACTGGTGGGCCTGAGGGGGGTGGGGAGGGGAGAGACCCAGTTGAAGTCTAAGGGGAGATGGGTTGGTGCAAAGGCAGCAGCCGCTGATGATGTGCTGCTGCAGAGCAGTGACAACTCCCCCGCTGTCTCCTCCGTGTGATCCCCGAGGGTCCCGGACTTGGCCCCTGTCCAATCATTTGAGGGTTTGGAGATGGTTCTAGGTTTTAGTTCCCACCCACCCTCCCCTTGGCGCTACACCCCGAGGAAGCCTCCGTGTGTCCTTTATCCCGCTCCTCTACCCTGTGCCTGTCTTGGCAATTGCTCGGGGGCAAGGAATAGGTGCTAATACAATGGGGCCCTGATCTTGGGTGGGCTCTAGCCCGCCACTGCAATAAACATCATTAACATAAGAACGGCCCTACTGGGTCAGACCAATGGCCCATCCAGCCCAGTATCCTGTCTTCTGACAGTGGCCAATGCCATGTGCCCCAGAGGGAATGAACATGCCTGCGGCAGGTCCACTCGTCAAGCAGATTTGGCGGCATGCCTGCGGGAGGTCCGCTGGTGCCGCACCTTCAGCGTCCCCGCCGCCAAATAACAACAAACAGGTGGTAAAATTCTTTCCACTCCACCCACACCTTAGGGCCGTCCTCCACAAACTGCCGAAAACCACGTCCCCGCTTCAGGAAAATGAGACCAAGGTACCCAGCCCGTGTGTGTGTTACACCTCCCCCGCGGTACCAATCTGCACAGCATAGCAGTTGTTACAGCCCCCAGCTCTGCTTTTAGTTCTGGAGGGGTCTGGTTTAACCTCCGGGGCGCTGGCCAAGAGGCCACCTCTCATGTATTCACCTTTCTGCAATCTGGCCATATGCTGCTAAGGGCTGACACATCTTAGCTGAGCACCCCCTTCCCCAAGCCTCAGCCTTCATACACCACATACTTCGGTAGGCACCACCCAAAGTCTCCAACACGATCCTTCCTCTCCTTTGTGCCATGCTCTGATGAGCGGCGAAATACTTCACAACGTTGCATTTAAAAAACGAACTCGGATGTGAACGACGACACCCACTGAAATGTGACCTACACAAAGCTGTCCTCTGAGACTCTCTGCAAACTCTGGCAGGTGGTGTTGTGTTAGTCACACTGCTCAGGGCAATTCCCCCATCTCAGAGCCATTGCCTCAGGCTCTCTGCAAACTCAGGCCAACATCTTGGCCTCAGTCAAACTGGGATCACATCCTCAAAGATTTCTTAGCAACTTTAACAGCTAGAGAATGATTTTTTTTTAAAGATAAAAGCTGAGTTGCTGGGGGGACAATTGGGAAGTCGGTCTGCTCTCAGGGGCTAGTCCTTGGCACACATTCGCCCCTGTCAGCGCCCATCCCACCTCTGAGAAACACTGCCCTATGGGAATGCATGGGGAAACAGGCTTCGTAGGTTGTCCTAAGAAGTCCCAGGATCTGGGGTTGAGGAATTAAGTTCTGAAGTCTGTGCCCTAAGCTGCTAAGCATTTGGAAATCAATTGCACCCAGCATCCATATTTGGGCTTGGGCACAACAACTCCCACCGTGTAAACTAGTCTGCTCTGAATTTTAAGGCAGACCATGGTCATTTTAAGACTTGGGGTTGCGATTGAGCATAGTGTCCACTAGATGGCAGCTGTGCTCCACCACCCCCACCCAG